TTCGACAAAACCTTTCCCCTTATTAAATAACTGGAACTAATACCGGTGGCACTCGTTTTTGATTTTTTTAAACATACCTGAATGCAGTGTTTTTCTCAATCTTGGCAATTTAAAGATGTATGGGCATCAACTCCCAATTCTGGGAGTTGAAGTCCATATCAGAGGTGGTATTCAGCAGGTTCTGACCAGTTCTGCAACTGGTAGTGGAAATTTTGAGTAGTTCGGAGAACTGGTAATATCACCTCTGACTGGCCACGCCCCCATCTATCCTCTGGCTCCCAAGTCCTAGCTGATTGGGAGGAAATGGGGATTTTGGAGATTTTACAGTATCCTTCCCCTGCCACGTCCACCATGCCATGCCCACCAAACTATGCCGCACCCACCAAGCTATGCCCACAGAACCATTAGTAAAAAAATTTGAATCCCACCACTAGTCCATATGTCTTAAAGCTTCCAAGATTGAGAAGCACAGTATCAATCCAAGCCTGTGGTAACCACTAGGATTATACATTCTTGAGATATGATTCCGAAAAAGTGCTTTGAACCTCATTACGTCTCATTTTTGTGAAAGCAGCCTACCCTACAAGGCTGACTAAAAGAAGCTTACATTCAGGCCTTGAAATTGGCCTGTCTACAGAGAGAGATAATTTCTGTTACTCCAGGCAAACTCACTTCTCCTCATAAGATTTTTAACATGCATTTCAGTCATTTGTCTCTTCCAATCCACTTATCACACCTGCTGTGTTGCTTCAGCAAGCAATCTATGTGGAAGTCTCAAACTTATAAACTAAATAGATAGACATAAATGAAATAGTTGCTAGAAGCTCATTTATACCCAAATAAAGAATTCAGCTTTATCTGAATTTAAGTATTGTAGGAAAATTGAGATCTTTATTCTGGGTATAATAGCAGCAATCAAAGAATTTTATGTGTGGACATTAAAAGTCAAAGCAATTGCCATACAATACAATAGCAGAGTTGGAAGGGACCTTGGAGGTCTTCTAGTCCAACCCACTGCCTAGGCAGGAAACCCTATACCGTTCCAGACAAATGGCTATCCAACGTCTTCTTAAAGACTTCCAGTGACATTCACAACTTCTGGAGGCAAGCTGTTCCACTGATTAATTGTTCTAACTGTCAGGAAATTTCTCCTCAGTTCTAAATTGCTTCTCTCCTTGATTAGTTTCCACCCATTTGTGGCAAACCCTGAGATATTGGAACACTGCAGGGGTGGCTTCCTGCCAGTTCTAATCTCTTCTATAGAAGAG